TTGCTGGAGGAAAAAGATCGCCTTGCCTGGGCTCTGTGGAGCTCCTTGTGAGGGTAAACGTAAGAATTTTGTGCATGATCTGGGATCTAGACCTGAAGGGGGAAACGGTAGCGTCTGATGGAGTCCAATCCTAGGAAGAGAGGTTCGTATAAGGAAGGAACACCAAATAACTCAAGTCAAAAGTTCAAATTCCGTATCAAAGTCAAGGCAAATGTCAGCAGGACCTTGGACAGTTCCCAAAAAATTTGAATCTCCTGTCTCCTCCCTTCAGTTTTGACTAGATTTATATTCTACTTTTACTCCTGATGTCAGCATTCCAGCAAACCCCCACTCCAGCCAATAACTCCAAGACAGACATCTCTCAAAAGTTCCTTTTATTTGGATAGTAAGTGGCACAACTGTGGAATCCCGAATCTTAAAGTTCCGGGCTTCCTTACAATAAAGTAAAAACTACAAATCCATCCCCTGCACCCAGCGTCGCATCGCATGGCCCAATCACCATCTGTCCCAAAGTAAGACTTCCTTTTCACTATGTGCAACACGACCTGACCTTGAATCAGGAAAAGAATGTTATTACGTCTAACTAGAATTACTCCAATGAATTCCCCCCTCCCACTTTCCCAGGTTCAGTTGTGGCAGCGTGGGAGCATCGGATCTCAATACGACTTCCAAAGCTGACACCTGCACCTCAAAACATCCATCCTCCAATGTGTCCCATCTACAGACTTGTGAGATGGGTTGGGTTGAGTGTGGCCTGCCCCAAGTCACCCAGTGAGCTTCCATGACCCATAACCTCAGTCTCCCCTAGTTGAACACTGACATCGGTCACTCTATCTCTATAGGAACTGAAGCCCATTGTCCAGCTTTGAGTTAATGTCTTTCCACCAATGGACATGAGTAGACTGGTCCTCACTTGATTTTAGAGCTCTTGATGACCACAAAGTTGGGGGAGATAGATTATGCTGGAGGTCCTCCTCTTGAAAAATCAATGAGAAACCATCTCCAGATAAATATCACCATTCCAGTCAACCTTCCCCTGCTGGAGGAGACCTCCAAATGTATGTTGGACCAAGGCTGGTTTGGGGATCCAAGGCTCTGATCTCATTTAAGGCAGCATCGTCAACTTGATGCTCTCCAAATGACCATGAGATTGTAATGGAACCCAACAGCATGGCACCCGGTGGGGGAAAATCACCCCCTACTATTCCTATCCCTTGTGGGTCTACCTTATCACTAGGTACCACAAGGAGGTATCTCAGTTCCAGCCTCTTTTCCCCCCCATTTTCAAGAAGGAAAGGAAAACACGGTGCCTGCCCAGTTTCATTTTCAGAGTTTAGCGACTCTTCATGTTTACAGAAGCACGGAGGATTATCTGTGCATTTAATTCTCAGGTCATTTCAACTCTCTTATCTCGGATAAGGCAAGATAAAGCTTTTCCCTCCCCACTCAGACCTGCTCTCTGTAATCCAGCATGAATGATGTACTGTACATTATGATAATGTGTCCTTAGATGTTCTCGTTGCAAGGAAGGTAATCTAAGAAGGCGGACTGACTTTCCGAGAGCTTCCTCCGTATCCACAACAGCTCCAAAGGTCCGCTCTGTCCTGGATTCAAGGCCGAGGGGGATACAGCATTAAATCCAAAGTGAGGACCAGCTAAACCTAAATCCTCTCTTTCCTTTGCCCCCCCAACCAACATCCTCTGGGGTCATGAATTATTCCAGGGGACCAAGGAAAAAGGACACAGAATCCAGCTTTTGAGTCCTGAGCCTGGTGATGGCAAAGGGAATCTCGGACTTAAGCTTGCTTTGCGTGTTTGAAGGTTTTTAAATCTTCCTTGGGCATTGCTCAAGAGCCGGAATAAATGATGTACAAGGAAATCTTCTACAAAAGTTGAAAACAAATTGCAGACTCACCCTCTCTAAACCGCCCCATGGGGAGTGACTGATCTGCTAATAACCATCGTGTTTAATGATGCTTTAAATGATAGCTACAAAAAAAAATAAATCATAAAATTGAGCCAGTTATGTGGGTGACGCGTTTTATGTCCCTAATGGACAGTCTGCATTCTGGTCATAAGTTAAGGAACACCAGTAAATGTGTGTTCTGTGGAAGGCCAGAATGCTTTCCCTGAACTTTGAAAAGCAGAAAAGGGCACGACACAAAGGATCCACCCATTTAGCCCAGAAGCTCTTGAGCTGGAGCTCCTCGAAGTGAAGGTGGCGAGTTTGCCAGCAAAGCTTTTCAAGAGCTGCGTCCCTCACCTGGGGGCAGAACTCAGCCAAGCTCCAAAACTCAATTATTAGCTCCAAAGGGTCACTCAGTGATTTGCTGCTGTATAAGGTACGAGTCATTTCTAAGAAGAAGAGTGAACCAGGGAAGGAAATCTGCACTTGAGCAGCCTTGAGAACTTTCCCCCCCGTTTCTCTCTCTCTCTCTATCCATCTATCACCTATCCATCTCTCTCTCTCTCTCTCTCTCTCCCTCCCTCCCTCTCCCTAACTATCTATCTATTTATCTATCTGTCTATCATCTATCTATATCATCTATAACTCTCTCTCTCTCTCTCTCTCTATCTATCTATCTATCTATCTATCTATCTGTCATCTCTATCTGTCTATCGTCTATCTATATCACCTGCCTATGTCTGTCTGTCTGTCTATATCTATCTATCTCATTACACATCAAATGAACTTATTAAACAGGCTGAGTGGGAGGAGGACACCACAAGTTTTCAAGAGAGGCTGTTCTTTTGTGAGGGAGGGGGAAACTCCACTCTTGAAGCTCTTTCCCATCTGGGAAGACCTCTGTCTCAGGTGTGCAAGGATGAAGGGCAGGTGACAATGGAGCAGGCAGGTTTTTCAGTCCCCCTAAGGGCACAAGACCCAAGCGATGTAGTATTTAACGGACTGCGAGGTGTGGCTCTTCTCCCAAAAGTATTCAAGGGCAGCCCCGCAAGTTGCACAGTACAGTAGTCTAACTTGAATTTAACCAGGCTACAGATAACAGGAACTCTTAAATCGCTCCTCAGCAAGAGTTTGATCGACTCTAGCAGCACAAGAGGAATGTAACTTACAAGTTTTTAAGCACGGTTGTTTGGTTGGCGTTCTCCTTATCCTCTGACCAAAATGGGCATGCTTAAAGTTGCACGGCTCTTGGCTAATGCTGGGCACATAGGTTGCTTCCAAGCAGCTCTCCCTCCCTCCCTCCCTCCGATCTAACAGGGCATGAAGTCAGCAGAGGGAGACAGCCATCTGTAAAGTGGGTTTATATTAACTGTGAACCAAGGCTGATCGATCGATCGCTCCGAGTAGAATGCCATGAACCCAATTGGCTCCAGATGCCAAACCGATGACATGAACTCCGGAAAGTGGCGTTGGCCAGAGATATGAACGCTTGAAAGGTTTATTTATCAATAGTGAGGGCGACTGGGTAACGGGAGGGATCTCCGAGTTCACATGTTAGGCAAACAAACCTCTGTTTAGGAAACCATCAATCTTGTCTCCGGGAGAAGACGGCCCATTAGCACGAGCAAACACTTTCGGCTGGCATGAAAACACAGGTATCTCAACTCGGGTGGCTAATGGAAGCCCCATCCTTGTTTGCAGAAGAGTTGAACCATGAGTGAGCATGGGAGTCCAGAGTGAAAGGAAGATGGCAGGCCCCTGGCCACGTGTCCCAAAAGCTCCGTTGCTGTTTGTCAAGTGGTCATTTAATCAACTTGCTCATCGTTGTTTAACCGGCTGAGGGGCCGGTTCGAAAGCGTGGGAAGAAGGGAAGGAGAACCAGCGGGTGTCCCCTGAAGCTGGTGGGTTGTCAGAACTGGGGCACTGGGAAAGGTCCCTTCTCTTCAAATGCTGTGTTGCAATTTTTCTAATTAAAAACCCAAGCGATCGCGTAGTATCGTTTTTTCCTCTCCTTTTCCCCTTTATTGTACACTTGTTTCAGGCGTCAGGTGAAATAGGTTGGAGTCCAAGAAAAAGGAAGTCACGGTCTGTAGCTCTGACGGATACATTTAGTGAAAGAAGTAAGGAAGTCGTTATCATTAAAAAAAAAAACGTATTTATCAAAATATAAAATACAGAAACGCAAAGCAAAATGAAAATAATGGGAAAGTAAGGGAGGGAAAGGGCAGAGGAAAGAAAAGTATGGAGTCTTTTTGGTGCAGTAGAATAAGATATCAACGTGAAAGCTCAACTTTTTACTTTTATATAACAATATTTACTAGCCATTTTTATAAGGCCCATCTTATCAGTAAGAATCAGAAATAGGAAAGTCATTATGAAAGACTTCTGCTAACTATCAAACACAAGCCCAGTTTATAGTGACATCAAATTCAATTCTACACCATTTCCTCCCAGGTTGCAAGTTTTTCACAAAGGGGCAGTTTCTACCTGTTCCTTGGGGGGGGGGGCTGTTTGCTTCTCATCTTGCCAGAAAGAGCCCCCTCCCCCCCCAGCCACCAAAAACCCACCTCATGTGCTCATTCACCCAATATTTGTTTTCCTTCCGGGGTGGGATAAGTGCAGCACGAAACACCTGAGTTTGGTGTTAGTGTCAGTCTGCTGCGCTTGGAGAGGGAGAGAGACAGAAAGAAAACAAGCCATTTGCACTTAGCAAACTAAAAACAGAGCAGGAAATTGAGTTTTCTGTTTGCCAGGGCAAAGACGCTCGTTCTAAAAATGCTTCTTCTGGACTTTTTGCTGAAAAAAAAGAGAAAAAAACAAACGATTTATGGGTTTGAAGATTAGAAAGGATCGCTTATGGAAAGAAGGAAATTACAATGTAAGTTTAGAGAGAAAACATTTGAGATTGGAAGCCCTTCCTTCCTTCCTTCCTTCTTCTTTTCTTTCTTTCTTTTCTTTCTTTCTAGTTCTATTTCATTTCTTACTTATTCACTCTTCTATCTTACTGTCTTGTTTTTATCTTTCAGTAAAAGTTTTAGGCACGTCAAGCATTTGTAATTAACGGAGTCTCCTTTCCTTCAGCCTGCAAAGCCTCAGAAAGACTTCCGTTGTCATGTCAACAATCTTTCTTTGTCATCTCTTGCAGCTTCAGTGAAGCAATGAAGAGTCAGCCCAAGCTGCCACTGCTGGATTGTCTTTTGGGGTACTATGCCAGTGTGACCCTCATAGTAGTGGGCATTCTGTTGGTGACCTCCAGTTTCATCGCACTGGGCTTTATTGGGACATTTTTAGGTAAGGTCAACCTGATTGTAGCTTGATGCCAACATTCGCCAACAAGATTCTCCTAGGTTGATACAGACAGACCACATTCTCCAAGTTGGCCAAAGTCAAAACTGGTTGACTATGGGGACTTCTACAAGGGACATCCAAGATATCAAAATGGCAGCTCCTTTGTCCTGGATGGCTCTGGATACACCACTGTTTTTACTTTTGTCTCTTTCTGCCACAATATATAATATTGAAGTTGGAGGTTTTGGGAAGTCAGTCCAAGATTGTTCAGTGGGACAATGGCTCTTCGTGAGTTCATAGATATGTTTGCATCACTTTCTTGATGATACGGAGGTGACTTTAGAAACATAGAATTGTAGAGTAGGAGGGGGGAACCTTCTGCTCCAGCCTTAACCCCTTGAAGATGGGTGGGCTTCCAACTCCCAGAATTTCCCAGCCAGGCCAGGGAAAGAAAGACTAGAACACAATCTTTCCAGCAGCCAACACCCTGATAAGCATGGATTAACACCAGACAAACAATAAAGCAGAAAACAATACCCTACGCAAGAAACTACCAGTAAGAAAAGCCACATCTCCACCAACACTGGCAGTATACCCATCATAAAGGTTCATTTTGGGGCCTCCCTGGGGCCCAGGAAGGCCAGAAATGGAGGGGGTGGGGGAGCTGCTCCCTCCCTCCATTTTTTTGCCTTCCTGGGCCTCAGGGGAGCCTCCTGGGTGAAGCAGTAAGTAAGCGAGAGGAATGCCGGCACAGCTGATCTTAGGAACAGCTGATTGTCGGGAGTGGAAAAAAAAGAAGTACCTTAAGGAGTGACTGGGCGGGTGAGCATCGGGCGGGTGGGGGGGGGCAAGCAAGTGAGCAGTGACCACGGCGGGGGCGTGGCCAGCCAGAAGTTACTACCGGTTCGGCGACCCACGCCAAATCCTTGCTACCAGTTCATTTGAACCGGTGAGAACCGGCTGAATACCACCACGGCTCTCCTCCCCCTCCCCATTTTGTTGTGCAATTGCTAGAACAGAGAGTTGGCTCTCTCCGATTCGGCAATCCGGGACGGCGCGTTTAAATAATCTGTGGGTTTAAATAATGAGATGGTTATTTTCCTGGGAGCCTCCAATATAGGCTACGGGGTTAGATTGGCACAGAATGATTCACTCTTGCTTGAACAACGGCTCGGTGGCCTTCCCATTTCCTTCACAGTAGGGGCGGTTTCTCCACCGTACTTGGCTGGCCCCATTTTCTTCCTTTGTGTCTGCGTGTGTGAATATGTAAGCAGCCGGAGAACTGCTTGACCGACATTTTAATCCAAGATCCAGGCCATAGTGGAGGGGGGGGGGCATAGCTGTTGCTAGAATCCTGGAGGGGGTGGTGTAGCTGTCTCTAGCATCTCGATTTTTGGAGAGATGGTTGCTGACTTGATTTCCCCGAGGGTTGTACTCTTTGATGTAGTGGGAAAGGAAGCTGTATCTTGTGAGCGAAGGTCTCTTCAAGTTGTGTCATTCTTCATCTCCTAGGAATTCAGTCCAGTAAGGTTTATGACACGGAGACTTAAACAGTTTCCGGTATCAGTTAGAGAGGGAATTTAACGGAGGAGGAGGAGGAGGAGGAGGAGGAAAGTGCTTTGTACCACATTTCCTCTGGAGAGACCGGAGCAGCTGCCTCAGACCATGGCCCCATTCAGGGTTTCTCAACCTTGGCAACTCGCAAGTTGTGTGGGCTTTGATTCCCAGAATTCCTCGGCCAGCATCCATGGACTTCAACTCCCAGAATTCCCAGCCAGCTGGAGACTTGGGCCATGCAGGTTGACTGAGGAGTTGAGGTCCATGCATGCTGGCTGGGGAATTCTGGGAGTTGAAGTCCATCACTCTTAAAGTTGCCAAGGTTGAAAAACACAGGCCCAGTGGATCCACTCTTCTGGTCCCACAAGCAAGGCTGGCTGAGGAATTCTGGGAGTTGAAGTCCACAGGTCTTCAAAGTTGCCAAGGTTGGAGACCTCTGGACCTTGACCTGGACCAGATCAGAACCTCTTGGACCCTCCAGGAGTGTCTGTTAAGGGCCAACTGCTCTGCCTGGCTTGTCTTCTGTCAAGGCATCCAAGTGATATCCTGCATGACATTCTGTAGCGGGAAGTTCTGGTGTGGCAATGCTTACTTGAGAACACTTGAGGCCATCTAACTGTGTCCCTCAGAAATTACCAGCCACTGCTTCTCTTTCCCAACCCTGGACCTTTATCGGTGCATTCTGGATCAGGATCTCACCCCCAAGAAGGAATCAACCCATTGTTTGGTATGGATTTATCATTAACCCCAAACTCCTAGGGGGTGAAATGGCCCCATACAGACCTCCTGGTACGGGGAAATAAATTTATTTTCTTCGGCAGAAACGATTTCTCTCTTGATTCTCCTGTCTCTGTCATGTCCTCTTGCTTGATCCTTTGCTTCTGATTGCAAGATTCTCCCCCTTTTTTATATCCCAACCAGATATCTCCAAACCCCCTGCTTTATCTTGTTCCTTTGCGATGAATTTTGACAAATTCACAAGCTTCTTCTGCGGCTTTTTGATTTGCCCTCCCATAAAAGGGGAAAGTAATTTTCCATCTGTCTCTTCCTCCAGATGGACCAACGCAGCTGTGTGCAATTTGGAATTGAGGGGGGGGGAGGCAGAGAGAACAGAAAGAGAACAAAAGAACAACCCCTGCACATATAACACAAACGCAAATCCATATTAACTTTATTTCCCTGGCTTTTCGTATTCCTCGATGTAACTTTGGAAGAGCCAGCTATGGCTAGCTTTTACTGGAATTGGGAGGAGGAAAGGAGAGGTGCGAGATTTGCAATCCATTGGGGGAGAAGAAGCCATTCCCCAAACATAGGTTTGTGTAGAAAGACATTGTGGGCAGAGGATCAGCCATGTCCTCATGATAAACAGGAAGGATATGGTCTCCCTCGAGAGCAAAATGCCTTTGGCTACATTGACGGCATTAGAAAGTCCCTACTGCTTTTTATGAAAAAATACGGCCCTCGTTCTTGCATCTCCTACCCTTCAGACCAGGTGATCTTCCAACATCCCTTAGGACTAGTTTGAAACGGCTGGAGACTTCAATCGATTCCATTCAGGAAAAAAAGCAACACCCAAATTCTGCCCCCTTTTTAAAGCTTAGTGAAGTCGAGTCCAGCTGGGAAGGAGGTGTATCTTTTGCCTCGGTCCACTCTCTCAATTCTTCTGTCCAGAAGGATTGTAATTTTGGAGGGAGAAGACCTGAAGACTTGTCCTCGGTTGGATGTCATGCTAAGGATAGAAGAATGTAAGCAGTGCCCTGCTGGATTGGAACTCTGGCCCATCTCATCCAGAAGTCCATTCTCAGAGAGGTCAACCAAGGAAGCCCACCAGACTCTCAGCAATGGCCTTCAGGAGCGACCCTCCTGCCCCCAAGGCTAAGACCAGCTGATCCCCAGGATCTCCATGAATTGGCCCAACTCTTCTTTGGAAGTCAGCCAAGCTGGCAGCCAGCACCGCTGAGAACCAGTCATCATCCAGCAGTCCTTCCCCCAACAGTTGACCAATCTACTGTGCAAGGAAGCCCACCAGTTTCTCAGCAGATCTCTGTGGCCTCAAAGCTGATGATCCCCAGGACTTCATGAATTGATCCAACCCTTTTAGAAACCAGCCAAGCCATAACGGTTCCCGATGGGATCATAAGTTCACACATCCCCTGTCATCCAACACAGTGTGTGTGTGTGTGTCGGGGGGGGGGGGGGGGCGGAGAGAGAGAGAGAGAGAGACCATTTGAACAAAATAAGTATACAGCAATGGAACCAAATTACTTTTGCAGGACAAAGTGAGTGTTACAGCTTCTAAATTGCTTTTTATTCAAAAACAAAATCGGGGAGGGGAGAATGTTTTTTTTTTTTTTAAAATTATGGCTCTTACCATGAGTCATCAAATACAAAGCCATTTATTT